TTGGAGCATGCAATAAATACAATACAATACAATACAGTAAGTCACTACTTTGCCCCCCAGAGTTTGCCTGCAAAAGAGGTTTACTACCTGAACTTCCATTCTTCGGATATAAAAAATTGGAATATTCATAGAAATCAGTATGAATAACTCAGTGTGATGGAAGAAATAGCAGGAGGTACNAAATGTTTTCCATATGCTTAATTAGTTCAGCACTGTCACAGAGATGTATGGGGGCATGGAGGTGTAGTTCCACCATTCTTGACCATTGCACTAGATGGAGGTGAGTGGTCACCTTCACTGCCCTCCTGATTTATCACCAGTACAGAGTGGATAGGAGGCCGAGATGGGGGCTTTGCAAACCGTTGCTTATCAGCACAACTTTCTTCACAAGCATTTTAGATCACTTTTTGGTTGTGGCAACACAACATGGTTATCATCTGGAAAACGGAAAAATGAAAATATTCAAAATGGAAAATTCATATACAATGATGATAAGTTCACTCTGTTCATTATAATTAAAGGCAACTAGCAAGATTTAGATGAAGGAGTCATTATATTAGTTTGTTTCCTTGAGAATATACCTGTCTTTTGCCTGGAATAAAATAAGCTTTCTTTGTTATTTCACAATATTAGCTGAAACTTCAAAGGAACACCAAGCTATGGAATTCAAATATACTCGTGTAATTAGAAGATATGTGGTGAGTATTTGATACTGCACGTGCAAGTAAATTTCATAATATCCTCGGGAAGTGGCCTGAATAATTATATATAAACCATACATGGATGTGTTTAATTTACATGATGTGGCACAAAAGACTATGTAATGAGAGACAGGATATGGCCTGCAATTTTAAATCTTGAACATTGAGATACTTTTTAAGCATGGATATATCCTGTATGTTCTCTTTTTTCTTTTTTTCTTTGTGGGGTTCAGGGGAAGAATAGTAGAAGACTAGACCCATTTCTCTCCTGACTTCTTTTTCAAAAGTATTCGAGAAGATTATTTTGGCTAGACTAAACCAACATATTCATGACTATAGCTTCTTATGTGTTAATAAATGAAATATTAGAAGCATTAAATAAGTGGGAAATTGTAGGTTGAATCTTTTGTGACTTAAAGAAGGCATTTGACAGTGTCAACCATGAGATTTTATTGAAGAAACTTCAATTTTATGGAATACGAGGTAAATTTCTCGATCTGATCACATCCTATTTATCAGACAGAAAACAGAGAGTATTAATAGCCAGCACTGACTTTGATCATGCTGCTAGATCTAACTGGGATACTGTAAGATACGGAGTCCCACAAGGGTCCGTCCTTGGTCCGCTTCTTTTTCTTTTTTATATAAATGATCTCCCCACAATTTTCAACGATTCAGTTAAATCAGTATTGTATGCAGATGATACAAGCTTAGTCATTAGCAGTTGGAATAATAGCCAGTATAGTAAAGATGTTAATACCTCTTTCACTTGTTTAATGAGTGGTTTAGTACAAACAGGTTGACCTTAAATTTTAATAAAACTAAACATGTTCAATTTGAGACAAAGCCTAGAACGAATAATGTAACTTCTATTCGATATTGTAATAATGGGATTTTAAATGATATAAACATGAAATTTTTGGGGATTGTTATAGAAAGATCGTGCACTTGGAAAGCTCATATAACTCAGCTTAGGCCTAAATTATGTAAGGCTTGTTATTCAATGAGGGTGATTAAACCCATCTTGCCCATTGAGACATTAAAAATGGTGTATTATTCCTACTTTCATTCACTATTGAGCTATGGAATTATTTTTTGGGGTAATTCACCCCTTAGTGTGCATATTTTTAGAATTCAAAAGAGTATAATTAGAGTCATGAGTGGGTTGAGACCTAGAGACTCTTGTAGAGAGGCATTTAGGGAATGGGGAATATTGCCGTTGCAGTCGCAATATATTTTCTCATTATTGATGTTTGTTGTGAATAATATGGGCTTGTATCATAAGTCAACGCAAATTCATGGCCTGAAAATGAGGCGTAATTTTGATCTCTATTGTCCTCAGGCAAATTTAACAATTTACCAGAAAGGTCCTTATTATTCTGGCATTAAACTTTTTAACCATCTTCCATTGAAGATTAAAGAATTGGTCTGTGATATTAAGCAATTTAGAGTGGCTTTACATGCCTTTTTACATCGTAAATCTTATTATACTTTGGATGAATATTTTAACTAGGATTGTTATTGAGTGTTTATGTTATTTATTTATATTTAAATTATAATGTAATTATATTGTAAATGTGATGTAATTGTAGTACATATAAGGGTATTAAGTTAATATCATGTTAATATTGTTGTATATATATATTATCGAGTGACTACCTGCTACTTAGCAGGCTTGTTGTGAGACCGGTTCTGTATCCAAGGGCTTCAGCCATGTAAGGATGTGTTGGAGCATGCAATAAATACAATACAATACAATACAGTAAGTCACTACTTTGCCCCCCAGAGTTTGCCTGCAAAAGAGGTTTACTACCTGAACTTCCATTCTTCGGATATAAAAAATTGGAATATTCATAGAAATCAGTATGAATAACTCAGTGTGATGGAAGAAATAGCAGGAGGTACATATGTTTCGTGTCGAGCTACCAGACATACCAGATACATATAACTTTGGTTGGCATGTTGCTTTCATATCTTTAGCTAATATGCATGTGGCTTCCATTGTCATAAGGAAGTACAAAAAACACATTATAGACTTGAAGTGATATTTTTCACATAATGATGTATCAGGTAAGAGAAAATGATGAAGATGTCTGAATTTGTAATGGAAATACGATGACTGTGCTAAAGCATTTCACATACATATTTGCCTCTACCTGTTCCCTGTTATAATTAAGATAATTAAGAAATCTTTCCCTTCAGCATGTTTCTTTGGTGTGAAAAATCTTCTGTGTCTGTGCTTTGTTGACTGGGGATGCTTTGATTCCCTGCTGGGGCTGTGAAAGTATAATAAAACTATTTTTAAAGGCACTACAAAAAACTATATGAATATGGTATCCACTTCAAGTGTTGTAGTTTGGAAATAGAAAAGGTAGTGGGGCAGTAAGTAGATTTCAAGGATAGTGTATCTGATTTATGAATCTGGCAATTCCTTTGGGTATATTAAAGAGTGAATGAAATAGGTGTGACTAGAATATATTAAATATAATTTATATAAGACTGGTTCTGAAACTGTCACTTACATCTACAGATGGTGCACCATAATGGCCATGAAAGACTGAATATGATCTTCTGAAAGATACCTGCATCTAAATATAAACAAAAATGCCAATATCTGTTCAGTACTTTCGCTGTATAACAGAAGTCATGGTATGAAATGACATGAGGTCAGACTAACTCAGACATGCAATTACTCATGCAGAAATTTTAGAAAACAGTACTTACATATTTAAGTAATAATTAAATAGTCAATATACTTCCACAATTTAAAAACTAATGATGTATAAAATAAATTTTTAGGTTTTTTAAAAAATGTTAACCATATAAGAAGCATATAATCCATCAACAGGTGAACAAATGAAGTAAATGGTGACACAGGCATGAGTTACATGAAAAGACGATTTATCTTCTGTATTTGTAAGCTAAAATAAGAAACAAGATTTAGTAGATTAGCTGAATTCCTCCATAAGATCCTCAATCCTCTATCTGGAAACACAGGTTCCTTCGTAAAGAATTCTGAACACTTTATAAAATCAATACAGGATATCAACCTGCAAAAAGAAGACTGCCTTGTAAGTTTTGACGTTGTTAGTCTGTTCACCAACGTACCAGTGGAAGAGGTCTTACAAATCATAAGAGATAGACTCAGAATGGATTCTTCCTTCCCAGAACGCTCACCTCTACAAGTTGAAGACGTGATGGAACTACTGGACATCTGCTTAAAAACCACATACTTCCAGTTTGAAGATACGTTCTACCAGCAAAAGGAAGGTATGGCAATGGGAAACTCACTATCTCCGGTGGTTGGTAATATATTCATGGAGCATTTTGAAGAAATAGCAATAGACACAGCTGAATACAAGCCTGCTAAATGGCTGAGATATGTCGACGACATGTTTGTGATATGGCCATATGGACCGGAAGAGCTACAGAAATTTCTTCAACATAGTAATAACATCAGGCCTACCATCAAATTCACTATGGAAGTTGAAGTTAACAATGCACTTCCATTCTTGCATGTTTTGGTTATGAAGCAGGGTCCAAAACTGACCACCAAAGTGTACTGGAAGCCTACTCATACTGGTCGTTATCTTCACTTCAAGTCCAATCACCCACACCACGTAAAAAGGGGAGTTGTTCATAGTTTGGTCAACAGAGCGAAGGTCATATGTCAAAACCAGAAGGATTTTAGTAAAGAAATCAGAAACATAAGACATGATCTGATGCTCAGTGAATATCCTAAAGAATTCGTGGACTCTGTATTGAAGCCATCGAAAAGAAATCGTCCCTCTTCAGACACAACATACCAGGGCACTGTAATCATTCCGTATGTCAAGGGTATTGCCGAGAAATTCAGACGCATCGGGAACCGTTTGCAACTTAGAACAATCTTCAAAACGAAACATACACTCCAGGGGACATTAATGAAAACTGGACCCAGTAGAGATGCCCAGAAAACGAAGCAGTGTGTGTATAGCATCCCTCGTGACTGCGGCAGATGTTACATCGGTGAAACTAGCAGACCCCTAGAAGTACGCATTAAGGAGCACAAATATAACATGACACAGGGTTTGCTGGAAAAGTCTAAATTGGCCCAACATGCATACAAGGAAGATCACAAAATTCGTTGGAATGAAGCGAAGGTCTTGCAGATCAAACCCAACACCACATACAGAAGATACAAGGAATCAGCCCACATGTCTCTGCTGGACCGTCCAATCAGTCAACCCAGTGTGGATATCTCTCCCATCTGGGCCCCTGTCATCACAGCAGAAATCAAGAGACTACAGCGACGTCAAGTGTAGTTGGTTTGGGTAACTATTTGTTTCATATGTTGGTACCACAAGGAGTATTGCTTCTCTCCTGGTATGATTTCATTCTAGATGTCTCTGGTGCTAAGCCTCAAATATGATAGCTTCAATATTTCTTAGCTCTCACAGATGGATTATGTTGTGCTTGTTTTATGAACTCCTTCTGAAACTGGCATAGTTGTCCGGAGATAGGGGCTAGCTCTATCTACTGGACCCAACTGATTAGGTTTTACCTGAAGACAGGGACAGATTCCAGTTCCCGAAACGATGTTTTTATAGAAACTAGACAGATTTTTGAGAACAGACAAGATGATGGATAATGTCCAGCAACATATTAATTGTAAAGATTTAGTACAATACATTTAAAACAATAGCATTATATTTACGTAAAGAAAAGGTAAAGTTGTTCCTGTGCATAACTAATTAAGCACTACACCACAAACATGTATGGGGGAGTGGATGTATAGATCCACATTTTGTTGACCTCAGCACTATTTGGAGGAGAGTGGTCAGCTTCACGCCCCGGCCGCTTTACCCCCCACCCATACTCATTGGATAAGAGGCTGAGTGGGCCCCAGAGCCGGTCTGGATGACAGGGAGAAGAGAAAATACTTGACCCTACCAAGACTCAAACTCCAACCCCCTGGTCGCCCAGCCCATAGCCAGTCACTATACTGACTGTGCTATCCTGGCTTTATGTAACCTGGACAAAAACAAACAGTTGTGCAATGCAAAAACATGCTAGTCACGTGCCATGGACCTGGAGGGAGTGTAAGGTATCTTGGCTAGAGCTACACTCTGGGGGAGTGTTTGCAAAACATCTTGCCTGCAAATCTACATGCATACTCATATAAACCCTTTTCACACAGAACATGCAAGACACAGTATGTGATATGCTTGACACATAACACGTAACATATCCGGTACAGTTAATTTTCCCTTTCACCATCAGACACATTAGGTATATTCAAATCTTGAATTTTCAAGACTAACTTGAGAAAATATATTACTCTTAAATCCAACATTCACTTTCCATTCACAAACTTTGAGAATTATCTGATATCAAAAGGGATAAGTTTCATATTTACCTAAATGGAAGAGGTTCTCTCTATTGTAAGAGTTACAGAACTATGGGTCGTCATGAATTCAACTGATATATTTTTATAAGCTTTTAGTGGGTTCATGCCAAAGTTCATGTTACACTGTGCTATAAGAGCAACAAGTGAGAAAGCAGGAGACAGAAGTATGAATCAAAGTCAGAAGCAGTAAACAGCTATGAGTTTACACAAAGTACCATCAAAAAGCAGTAAGATTCTGTGTTAACATGAGAGTTCTTCACCATAAGCATGACATATCTGTTACTTCTTGCAAGTTACATGAGCCACAAGGTTTCTTCTTGACAGCCAATGAGAGTTACAGTAAAACAAGAGTGACTGATACTGTGCTCCCATTTCCTTGCAAAAAGTCTCCTTTTCAAGGGATGAATTTTTATGTAGTTTCCAGTTTGGTCACTGTGATTCATCATGTCACTCAGTTTTGGGCATAATTCCTTCATAGGGTGTGATTCACCATGTATCATACCGTGTGTCCATATAGCTTCTGGTGTTCATCGTTTAATTAACACCTGCAGTCCCCCTCTATTTCATGCCATTATGCAAACTGCATCCATGCATACTTCAATAAAATCTGACCATTTTATGCTTTTTTTCTTTCATGAAATCATCAAAAATTTTGAAGAGTTGTTTTACTGTTTCTTTTCTTTTTATAGGTTGCAGAAAAGTGTCTCTTCATTACTTGCTGTATCTGCAGCATATCACACATAAGCTATCAAGCGACCAATACCACTGCAATCAGTTGCTTTGTCAATCTCTACTGACAAACGTTTCTCATCTTCTCAATCAGCTGTTATTCTAAGACTTCTCATACAACAGCAATCTGTCGAGGGACCATGTTATTTTATAGCAGGATATCAAAAAGCTGCTGAGCACAGTTTTCATTGAACATTGTTTGTACCACATCTATCGCAGAAGGGGGTATCACAGTTTCAGCGACCGTGTGCGGCTCCTTGTTCTGTGCTATTCTGTATGAGACTTAATAATGTCTTTCTATGGAAGTATTCTTCTTGCTTGTTTTTCATTTTTGAATAATTTGTTTCAAGGTTCTGTTTCAGTTTATTTAGCTTCAAACTGTCAGATACTAAGAAACTGAGAAACAGAACATACTGAGGCCATTTTTCACTGTTAATTATAACACTCATGAAACCCAGAGACAATATGGTTCAGTGTACTTTTATGATTTTGGTTTTGATACACAACTCAAACTACTATTGCTTTAGGTTTGTTGTCTGGTTTTCTTTTTATGCCTACCAAAAATCTGTGCATTATTCTATGTTCCAGAAAATACCAATTAGTGCCTTATACTGGATGGTAACAATTACATGTAGTGAATGTTACAGGATGTAAGTTTTCATTTGTACACTATGGAACTAAAATGTTTACATGTTAACACACCATATTCTATCACTGCAGTATTTCTACATCTTAACACACTGAACTACGTCACTAGAGAATATCTACAACACAAATGTCTTCACTCACGAACTTACACTAACAAAGAATAACATGACTTCACAGAACTTGTGACAACACTTTTATTGCTCAGGACTTAGCTTTCCAGCCCTAGAGGGCAAAAGAATTTAGGGGTGTAAATGGTAAATTTGAGGGGCTGGGCAGCTTTCTCGTGCTCCTTAACAACAGGGGAGTAAGTTGGTTTAACAACACATTTGTTAGCATTCCTCCTAAAGAGGTAAAGCTTGAGTCCCTAAAAGTACATAGACTTATATTGTAGTTTAATTCCTAAAACTGCCAACATTCCATGAGTTTGAATTCTGTAGCACTGTATAGCTAAACTAACCCAATCAAGCAGATGATTTTAAAAAGGTTTCTCCATATTTCCTTTAAAATTGTTTTTAGTACAAACAACATACCCCCTGAGGGGGAGGAGGCACTTCACACACTTTGGGAACCTCTGCTTTATAGCATCAATGATCAGATGATTACTGAATGTGGGGCAGTTGATGAAATCAAAAGTGGCAGGAGAAACCAAAGTGAACAGAGAAAACCTGCACCAAATCCCACATGACCTGGCCTGTGGCTGAAGCCAGCTACTATTCATCTGAGCAACAGAATGGCCTTGAACACACTGAAACTGATATGGAATGGCGAAGGGAGAGACTGCTGATGCTGAATAATGGCTAGTGACTTCATGAAGCAAATTTAGATGTCACGTATAACATGTTTTTAGATGGTTATTTTCTTTCACATGTTTGCAGTAAAATTACTTTTTCTGTGCATACATGTTCTCCAGTGTGCAAACATGTTACATTCAAACTACTCTTCCATTCAGGGGCAGTACACTTTACTGTATTGTCAGAAAGTGACTAGTGTTATAAACTGTGATTACAGCAGAAAAACTGGCCTAAAAAAACTTTTCATTCTTGCCTTGATTTTTTAAATTTTTCCATATTCTCATCTTGATCTCAGCTTCAACTGAAAAAGTTACTCTTGGACATGCCTAATGTAAATGCAATTACACATCCGGAGTGAGAGATGCAGTTGAAATACCGTATCACTTTGAATATAAGATGCAAATTTTACACTTTTTTCCTGTTGAAAAATTGAGGTGCATCTTAAATGCGAGGAATGTGCACCTTCATATTTTTTTTTCTCCAAAAGCCCACATTCAAAAACTGGATGCATCTTAAATTCAAAGGTGTCTTATATTTGAAGTAATAAGGTATCATCAGTCTCAAGGATGGGGTTAAACAAAGACATTGCTCTACATGCTGTCACTGTACTGGCAATCTATTTTACTCTATTTCTTCTCCTTGCCTCCTGATGAAAACATCCCAGCCACTACCACAGGAAACAAAACCAGCCAGTAAGTCAATAACAACCATCACCTAAAGCAGACAATACATCCCACTCCTGTAATCTTAAGCATATCAATTAAACCTAAGGCAATGGGCAACATTCAGTTTAATCACCATATAGCAATTGACAACTGTTACGAAAGTTTGTAGAATCATGACACTTGAATCTGCCTCCATCCTCAGATAAGCCTAAATCAAATCCCTACGTCCTGTTACTAGAGCGAACAGAAGGCAGGGAATATAAACCATCTGTGGGAGGAGGACAGAGGCAGCATACAGTCTCCCATCAGTTGCTGTAAAAGAAATCCAAAATATTGATAACTGTGTCAATATACCGTAGTCACGAACTTTGTAATTTTATTTTTGCTCTCAGAACCCGGTTATTTTATTGCGAATCTGCCATGTCTTATCATACATATTTATTATTTCAGACACGACAGTCCGGAAGGAGTGCCCTCATGATGAGGAGGAGGATATTCTGATTTTGGATGTTGAGGAGGATCTTCTACTAGAAATGGATTTACTGTTGAAGAACATGACTTTGTGATTTTGTTTTTAAATGTAGTTTGATTTCTTTAAATGAACAAATATTGACTGTATTTTGATTATTTTAAGTTAATAAATCTTGAATGTAGTTTGATTATTTGTAATTAATAAATCTAGTTGTATTTTTATTTC